ATAAACCGAATTTCAGTTGAAGTGAAATTTTTGATACTTTGGTTTTCACTACACGTTGGATAGTTGTGATCGAACAAAAAAACTAGCAATGAAAGGTTCAAATTCAAAATGCATTGCAATGTACAACATTTGATATATTCACAATCAGTTAATCTCTTAATAATACATCTTCCTTGGGTTTTTTTCTATTGTTTAATAATTGTCTGCACATACATTTCATATTATTTATGTGTCGCTAAATAATTATTTCTCATTTCCCGGACCAGTATTAATGATCCGTTTACGAGCAGTCCAGTTTCTTTTCAGCAAGCCTGCGTGTACGTAAAATCTAATGGGGAACCGTGACACATTCCTTAAACGAGAAATCGAAAATACGCATTCGTCTTTAATCGAATTGTACCTATCTTCAATGGAATTGTAACTATCTTCAATGGAATTGTACCTATCTTCAATGGAATTGTACATATCTTCAATGTAATTGTACCTATCTTCTATGGAATTGTACCTATCTTCAGTTGAATTGTACCTATCTTCAATGGAATTGCAACTATCTTCAGGTGAATTGTACCTATCTATATCTTCAAATGAATTGCACCTTTCTTCAATTGAATTGAATATATGTTGATTTGGCGTTCCATAAACATCCGGGTCAATAATGATACCCTCGGTTGTTTACATTATTGCTCACTGTAATAAATAGTACAAGTAGGTAAGTGATGGATCTCCTCGCCAAGTGATTGATGGGGTACCAATACCTTTATTTATAATAAATAATGTGCATAGAGGAAGCGAAATTATCCGTGGTTATCGAAAAGGTATAGATCGTGGTTCGAGTCCAGAGGGTATACTCCGTTTGGTCAACGTCCTATTAACAGCTAAGGTCATTAAAGGACGTGCCTCTTTGTGTGTTATGTACGAATATGCTTGCATGTATGTTTGTATGCTGGAAGTAGATTTTGTTGGTGTAATTGACCTCTTGTGATATTGCTATCTCACTGAAATACCATGCCGAAAAACACCTATAGCACAGCATTCCGCCCGGTCACATTATACTGACAACGGGTGAACCAGTTGTTGCCATTACCCTTAATGCTGAACGTTAAACAGGGAATAACAACCATTTTAAGGATTAGGTACGTCCCGGCCTATAGGGACAGAAACCATTGCCTTCCTCACTTGGGCGAACGTTCAACATTAAAGCTAGAAGTGAGATATTGCCAAGCAAGGCGCTAGGAAATTAAAGGTAGTTAGAAGGAGAGAGAAATATAGTGATCCCAAATATTGCAATGGGTGCAGCAGATTTATTTTGGTCGCTTTCCTGTCCCCCAAAAAAGGGCACAAAAGCAAATCCCCAATTTTGCAGGGGGTTCCCCCATTAGTCGCCTCTTACGATACATGTAATGGGTAAGAGCAAGTTGTATTGCTGTAGTCCGTTGGTGTCTGAAGATGAGTTAGTCTCAGCAGTGCACAGATTTTTTCAATAACAGGAAAAACAGCACTTTACGTTATATTTAGAAATAAAATGTTTTGTAAACTATTAGATACTATGACAGAGATCAGTGGTATCAGAAAGAAGAGTGTATCAGGCAAGGTGATCACGCCACTCGATTAGCTATCTCACCGGACAAGTCAGGTCACTAGAAAAACAATCCCCAACATCTTCACTTTAAATGTATGATAATTTAGATGTCGTATCATTATTCTGACGGGTTTTGACCTATTTAACCAGTATTTTATTTTATTAATTTTTTAGATTAATTTTACCAGTATATTATAGATTTTTTTCAAAAGGATTAATAAAATGTCCAAATTAAAGAAATTGTTCAAAGATATATTTATTTTTTATTATCAAAGGTACGTAATTACTTAGTCCGAATTATTCTGACGTTTTATCGACTTTTTTTTATATCGCTCGACGACAGACCGATATAAAAAAGTCGATAAAACGTCAGAATAATTCGGACTAATAATTACTATACGGTGGGAATGGTGCCACTGCGAATGAAAATAATACAGCCTTTCCGGATTGATCGTATCCAAACTCCGAACGGTAAATCTTTGCAACATTTCTTTGAAGGTCGGGGTGCTACCAGTTTGTGTACGTGGCAAAAGCCGTTTCCACTCAGGTACAGCAGTGTATGTAACACGTAGGTTAAATCAGTTCAATGCTGCTCCGGACAACACCTTCTGAACGAACATTGCTTCATTGAAACTGAAACAAGACCCTCGAAATCAAAGTCACGACAAGGGCAAACTATCAATCCATCATAATTCTTGCATGGACCACGTCGCATTAATCCATTCTAGCTCTTGCCTTGATCTCGTTGCATCAATGCATTTAAACTGTTTGCCTTTATAACGTTGCCTAAAAACCATTCTAGCTCTTGCCTCTATCACGTTGCATCAACCAAACCTTACCGTTGCCTTGATTACGTTGCATCAATTAGTCATAACTTTTTCATGGGGTTTGAGGTATCAAGGCTTTCTAGTGCTTGTTGAATCATTTTATAACACGTTTGCATAGCAAATATTATCATATTGTCCATACCTACCTCAAGCAAAACTTTAAATTTGAATGTCGAATCTTTAGAAGTTCTGGAACTATTTTGTTGAATTTTGATAGATGTTACGTAGCAAACACATGTCCGTTCAAAGTCAATCCGCGGATCAAAAGCCAAATCATTTTCTGAACATCAAAATTATTTATACACGTACCGTAAACTTGCGTATCCCATGTAATGAGTATATTAATGTAGTATGGTGAAATACTTACCCTCGCTATATACTCAAGCATAATACACGCACATTTATTAATTATTTTCAAAGTAAAGTTTTTTGGTTGGAAGGCTATATGAGAGGTCTAGAATTTGATAAAACAACTTTTCTAGCCTACATAATCTAGTAAAGGAATAATTTCCAAGAGTTGCTGTTGACTTCTTTTCAGGATTTTGTCTGATGCTCTTTTATCCTGATCGCCCAATTCTTTCCTTTTCTTTGAGATTCGATACTTTATGACTGTGGCCGCATTCGTTAATCGCGATCAAACGGTTGAACCGGTTGGACCAGAGTTGTTCGTTTATGAAATAAGGTCAGACCTAGTAATCTGATGCTACTTTCAGGCGAGCCTTGAGAAAACCTTGCAATGCCTGCATAAAAAATGTGCAGAATTCATACCCGAAAAAGTTACATTTTAAAACAGACAAACCGGTTGAACAGAATACGCATAAGGGGGCCTGTATATTTTCGGTTCAATCTGCGTTTAACCAATAAAACACGTTATGATTATGAGTCTGCATGTGCACGTGACATGAGCTTGACATTAAAGTGCTATCTGAGGGACAAACTGGTCGGTCACTCACTAAAGTGATATCATTTAGTGGAAGACAAATACTTGTCATTACACGTTAAAAAAGCTAAAAGGATGAGACCTTTATACTCCTCAAAATCTTTACTATGAACAAACCTTAGTAATTATTCGATTTGCCTGCAAACATGTTCATTATGTTATGGGAATACCTCAGAGTAATTTTACACAGGGGGGGGGGGACATTTTAACCGATCTTGATTTTGTTGGCGTGTATCTAGATCACGGTGACTTAATTTTGTCCTGTTTGTCAGTTATATCTACTACGTTTTGACCTACTTGGGGTCCGGTGAAGTTATCTAATCGCGTCCCTAATGTTTCTAAGTATGTAAGTCAACAAAATCTTCAGATTTATGTCTTATTATTTAAAATGTTATCTCCCAGTTATCTTCATAATCTGGGATGAACCCTACCTCAGTATGCTGATTGCCGGTCAATGATGCCGTTCAATTGCAAAGTCAGGGTTAATAAATTATCTTATCTCATCACACTATTGCACCACATCATAGGCAAATGTTTACTTGCATAACTGTGATTTTCTGCTTCACTCATTGCAATATTGGGACCTTTGTATTTTCTCTCTTTTTCCAGTACATGTGCTATTTTATTTCGTTACTGGAAATACCTGAATTTTGATTTTAGTGTTGAACGTTCGCCTAAGTGGGGAAGACAACAAGTTCTGTCCTCAGGCCGGGACATACCAACGTCCTTTAAAATAGAAATTGTGTATCCCCTGCTAAACGTTAAGCATTTAGGATAAGCGCAACGACTGATTTACCGTTAACCCACTGTAACTAAAATGTAGAAAGTATGTGCTAGGTGCCTTCGTAATGGTATTTCAATGAGGTAGCACTCTGAATTCGGCATTCGATTCGTGCTATTGCAAGGAAGCAAATACACCAACATACCTTATCTTAAATGGCATTAGACGCTATCATACACATTAAAATTGTATTTTTTATCAGAGTTACCTCCCTTATTAAAAGGTAGTATTGGTTATCATTATATGTTTCATATATGAGTGTCAACAATTCATCGCTTAAAGTAACCAAGTCAATAAATAACCATCCAATACTGTTACTTGTGTGCCACTCTTTTTGAAAAAAAGGTATGTGTCAGTAAGTTACCATATAGCCTTAAATATGTATTTGAAAATTATCATTGAAATCAATAATAAAGTTTAGTTCACAACACATAGTAACTAAGATACTTAATTGTGTTAATTGTGTTAATTCCATCTGAGCAACTTTGCCAAAGAGATAAATATGACTTTACCTAAAATAGATAATTTCATCAGAAGAACATAATTTGTGTTTTGAAAATCTTAGCTAGTCATAGATCCTCTATACCACATCTCAATTTCATTAATATCATATGTCATACCCTTGTCAGTAAATTAAATACATAAATGATGAAACAATAGACACTATCATTATATAATAGAACATGTTTGTGTTAGTTTAACCTTTAATACACATGAGCGGGAGTGTTCGGATATCCCTGCATCATCACCTCTATTTGTATACAGCGTTGTGCACACGGTGTAGTTTACGTCCGTACTAGGTCCGGATTAGTATTGCTGTTCGACCTTTGAACCATATTTTGACAAAGAGAGTATAAAGCTCGAACCAGCTCGCGCACCGCACATATGTAACTAGTCCATCCCGACAGTGGGAACTGGACTTATCATGGATATTAACACAGCGGCAGTTTTTATAGCCATTGTGGCTGGAAGTTTTGCAGGTATTTTGAATTTTTATATAAGAAAAAATAATAATCCTTATATGTCTCATCAACCGTTCAATTAGTAAAAATATTTTGTTTCGAAATTATTTTTTTATGATTGAACGATGTATTATCCCCAGAGGTGATATTTTCTTTTGTAAAATACATACAATGTACAATTAATGAAGTATTACATAGTTTATACATATATATTTAATGTTAATTTCCTTTTTGTGAACATTTGTATTTGTCTGTCGATATAAAGGGCTTTACGATCATTTAAAATTTGTAAAATAAGTATCTTAGAGTTTTTATTTACCTAATGCAAGCCGTGTGTAAACGTTCAGAAAATGTGTTGTATTTGTTTAAAGAGTTGTAATGATTTTAATATTGGGTAAAATCTACAAATAAAATGAACGCAACGGCCGAATTCACAAAATCTGTTTCTGTGTCAATGAAATGCGCACTTCCTAACATTGCTACGCGCGTGACTTGTGGCAAAACAAAAACAACCGCACGAGTATGGGCATGAAGTCCAGGGTCTAACTGACACTCAAAATGTTTATTACGAGTTAAAAAGTGGGAGAAATGATGTCAGCAGGATAAAGTTGTTTACAAAGAAGGAGCGGTGTCTAATGTCAGCCTCAGTACCATATAACCTTAAAACGAGGCTTTAAAAACAAACCGTTTCTGTGAGAATTAAAATTTGAGTACACAGAGTGAACTTTATTTTAGCCTGTAAATAGAATGTTGATAGTTTTATTTGCAGTTTCTTTGTGTAGGGTATGAGCTTATATATCCAAATATTCGTCCAGTGATAAGGTGCTCTTCTAAATACACATAAATTATATAGATCCAAAAAAGTGTTAAAGATTAGCATGTTTGTAGATCTATTCATAAGCTCTATGCTGCCTATGCTAAAATGAACATTAGTTGAAATACTGTATACAATGGATATAACATAAATGTAATTTCCGTTGAAGGTCCTGTGTCGCCTATTTCCGGTGATTCGTGTGCAAGACAGTGTACAGGTAAGTCTGTAGGACAAATTGCAGAATCAGCATCACACGCGAGACTAAGGTTTTTAATATCCTGAATTTAAGCACAGGGACATGAGGATCAACAACATCTTGTTATTTGGACCTATCCTGGTGTGTTTGGGGTGTTATTGGAGACCTGTAATGATGGTTTATCATGACATTTTACTTTAAGTTGACTTACACCGTTATACCTAAAACGTTAAATAATACTTGTCACATCAGGATAGGTCAAAACATGCACACTGTAATCGATTCATAGGCCCATGTGCTTCGAGTAAGTTCAGATATGTGAAAGTAAGTTAAAATAAGTTGCCTTTGCCTTTGAGTTCCTGTGTATTTACAGAGAAACCCGTCACCCCTTAAACGTTTAATAGTATCCCCTGTACACCAGGGTAAGTCCAAAGTTACATTTGAGGCTGTAAGTGGGGAAATTAATGGGTGAACGTGTTTTTTGTTCTGATGGAAATACACACATGGATAAAGTGTTATTTATTATCATTACACTGAAATAAATAAATATATTGTAATAATGGGCGAATCCAGTAACATTTTGAAAGGGGCATGGGATGGGAGTACGGGGGAATGGGGGCTGTTCCACGTCATTACCGGGTACCCTAATGTGAATTTGCCTGATTAAATTATATTGAGGTGGGGGTGGGGTGGGTG